ACTGCGCTGTCATTGTTCAATTCCCGCTGGAGGTGTTGATAGAACCTATGCGAGGTCGGAAGTTCAGTCTAGTCCAGCTGGGATGGGAACACCCTTTATGAAAGCAAAGCTGTGTGAAATTGAATGGAAATGTCAGCTCTATTCATACGATTGTGGGAAAATTCAACTAACAGTCCTTCATCACCTTAAACGAAATAGAGTGATTTTTTTCTTAATACCCACTTGTCCGGACTCATATTTCTACCAATTCCTGTAACTATCCCGATGAGCATTTCCTCCCCACGATAATCCGTTGCTCTGGCTGATATGCTTACTTATTACATGTGGAGAACTTGATCAACCTTTCCGAATAAACGGATCTTCATCGCCTATCATTCTGAGAGAGGGTGAGTAGTAACAGTGCGCTTCCATACACAAGACCTCAGCTTCCGTGATTCTACATGCACACACACACATACTCTCTAACACAAATAAAATAGTTTATGTAAGATGTATTCATCCTATTTCGTTCAAGCTGGTGGAGTACGGATAGTTTAATTTTCGCACGATTATACGAGTTAAGTTGACTCCTATATTGAATTTCACATAGCCTTGCTTTCTAAAAGTTTCTCTCATCCAGGCAGGACTCGAGCCATGAATGAACCTTATGTGTACAGTAGGTAATGCTAGTCGGTTTATTCTTACCTCTTGAATGTTAGTTTTATGTTGATGCACTTATTTGATAGACAAAGGCTTGGCATGTTCTCGTCTACTTTGTTTTTCTCTTAGAAGTCTTGCTCTTACTCCAGCTTCATTCGGAATGCCCACTTTCCCTTTTTCAGGGCTTATTTGCCCACTTTCTCCTATTCGTCAACTGATACTTTGTGTCTGCGCTGTCAGTTGCCCATAGAATAGTAAGAAGCGGCTTTCGTCTCCAGTTAGGAGGTATGTACCAAGCATTAAAAGAGTACAATCGCCAAACGCTTTGTTAATGATGGTCTACACACTATCTGACTGACCTCTCCTACTAGTTGAAGCTGGGTCAACAAGTCTTTGCAAGCTTACTTTGTGTGTCTAGAAAGTATCTTTTCTAGCTTGTCCCCACTCAGAGGTTGATATAAGGCGATTGTTTTGTGTGTTTCTTTGTACCAGCCGGCCTTTTGCTTTCGCTTTAGATTGTCATTTGTTGACTAATACTTGCTTCATAAGAGACAGTTTGGCTAAGGAGACGCTCCCTAATGCACTCTTTCTGCCGGATGTCCGGCTTCTGTACATCCCTTCAAAAAACCCATTCGTAAATTCATTTGACGTCGAAACTGGCGATTTCTCTCGTCTCGGGGTGGGTGTTGCCAATCGTTCGAGTGGTGGTTGGGGCAGTGCCTGTGGTGGTTCGAGCCGACTCTTCTGTATGGCCAATGCAGTTTGTGCTAGCATCTCTCTCTCTCTCTCTCAGGAGGCTACTGAACATTTTGCAGCGCCAGTGCTCAACGACGAGGGATTCGAACCCGGGATGCGTGTGATCAGATACAACCATTCACCCGCTCTGACTACACGATCCTGACGGCACCAGCTGGTGGGGCGGGCAAAACAGGCTTTTCGTAAAATGCATCTACCAGAGGGGTCTGCATGGGTTATCACTGAACCCGGTGCAAGGA